CGAGGTTCAACCCTGCACATTATTTTGAACCTGGGTGTTTTAAGATAGGATGAGCAAAAACAAAATGAGGCTATATAAACCAACAAAAGCACATGTGAAATGCTTCTGACTTTTACCGCCCCAAAAAAGCATTTTCTTTGTCAAGGGTTATGGCAGTCTGCCCTCTGTCCTAGCAGGTAGCAAGGAGGAGATGACAAAGACCTACAGGAAGAAGGTAGATGAGAACAAGCCATGAAAAACTGACTTCCACACCAAGCCTGAATGATAATACAGATAATGATGAGGATCCAAGAAGTCAGAGACAACCCACAAAATTATGTGCATAAATTACCATCCTTTGAAATCAACATCCAGGACAAGAATAATCACATTTTAACTTGAAAATAGCCTAAGAATTCTTCCTGTTCAAGCAAATGAGGCTGAAAAGATTTAAATGGAGAAAGGCTGTCAGGGAATTCTCAGTCATCAGCAATGTATTGCAGGTTTCCAATAGTCTCTAGTACAATGTACTGGGGACCTGAGAAAACTGCCTATGAAAACAGGTCTGAGTTTACCTTGGCTCCCGCAGCTTCTTGTCAACAGTAGACAGGAAGGTGAGGCACGGATGTCAACGGGATTACATAGTATGGAAATATTCATTAAGGCTAAGAAAGACAATACCATATGATTTCACTATAAATGGAATCCCCCCCAAAAAACAACAAAAGAAAAAAAGACAAAAAGCAGAATCAAACTTACAAATACAGAGAATTAACTGATGGTTGCCAGAGGGGAGGAGGAGGGGTTGGGCAAAATGGGTGAAGGGGAGTGAGAGATACTGGCTATTGTTATGGAATGAATAAATCACTGAAATAGAAGGCACAGCATAAAGGATACAGTTAGTGATATAATAACAGAAATGTGTTAGGACTGATGGTAGTTAGACTTGTGGTGAACACAGCATAATGTGTAAACTTGTCAAATCACTATGTTGTACACCTGAAACTAATGTAACATTGTGTGTCAACTATACTAAAAAAAAAAAAAGAATACACTTTAAGTGATAAGCACTGAACAATGTGTATAGAATTGTTGAATCGTTATATTGCATAAGCTAATAGAACACTGTTAGCTATATTTCAATTAAAAAAAATAAAAATTAAAGGGGTTCCTGGTTGGCTCAGTCTATTAAGTGTATATGACTCGTGATCTCAGCTCAGGTATTACCTCTCACAGTCATAAGTTCAAGCCCCACAGTGGGCTCCATGCTGGATGTGGAGCCTACTTTCCAATTAATTAATTAGTTAATTAATTAAAAATTAAAGACAAAACAAAAAGGAAATATTTCCAAACCAGTTGATGGGTAGTCACCATCCAAAACCCCCAGTGCCTCCCCTTTGGGTCCCACTCTGCCCCAAGCAAGTAACAGTGACACAGAGTAAGAGGAGAGAGGGGGCTTCACGCTTCCTCCTTCAGAGGCTCCATGTCTATTCTGATTGCCCTAAATAATGATGCAGTATCAATATTAAGTTGACCTAATAATGTTAAATATTATTTAACAGTATTACCATTAAAAATAAGCAAAAGTTAAAATGAAGGGGAGAGCCCATGGAATAAGGAAAATTTAAAGAAGCAAAGCTAATCCCAAAAAAATCCTGGGGTGCTCTTCAAAACCCAGCTGTGCTTTGTTGTAATTTTCAATGAAGCTCCACCCAGCCAAATTAAAGAGCCCATCTACAACCTAGTTTTTTCGACCCTGTATACTTGAGATTAGTAAAAATTCAATAGCATGATCCTGCCTGTTAGAAATTAAGTCTTTTGCATTTCCTGAATTATTTGGTGTTCTCTCTGACCAATGGAAGAAGAGAAATGTCACGAACAAATGTGAATACTGTTTCCTACCTACTTGCTGAGTTCAGCTCAGAGCTGACAGTATGAATACTGGAGGAATGATCGCCAACCTAAAGACACACTCTGGGGAGAAGACATCACCCAGGAAAAGATGGACTTTGTTTTGTCTCTCCAACTCACTGACTTGAAATATTGGAATCATGCTCATAATTCTCTAAAGAAACTTCGAGTAGATGCCTCACAGCCTTGTCAGACACAACCTCAGTCTCCCCACTATCACGTCTACCAGCATTCCTTTTTTTTTTTTAAATTTCTATTTATTTATGATAGTCACAGAGAGAGAGAGAGAGAGAGGCAGAGACACAGGCAGAGGGAGAAGCAGGCTCCATGCACCGGGAGCCCGACGTGGGATTCGATCCTGGATCTCCAGGATCGTGCCCTGGGCCAAAGGCAGGCGCCAAACCACTGCGCCACCCAGGGATCCCTACCAGCATTCCTCGTCATTGGAAATGCTGAATGTATCTGTCACATTTCTGACCCTTTTTAGTAACATTTTCACACATGTTAAAATTTCCATGGACATGTATCCTGTTGACCTGGGGAATGACTTTGGCCAGAGTGTGTTCTCACAGCAGAATGAAGTTCGGCTGAAACACAGGCTGTCCTCTGCATGCTAGGCAGTGGGGACATGGGTTGCAGCTCCAATGTTTTCACTGCATATATAATGGCCACAAGCAGGCAAACCTATCTCTACCTCTGTTTTGACCTAATAGTACTTCCACAGAATTTTCTTAGGTCTCCTTGGTTAGCCTCCAGGAAAACAGCAAAGCTGAGAATATGGGAATCTCACAAACCTAAGATCCAACCCAGAAACCAGACCTCTTTGGGCCCTCCAGACTAAGGTGAAAACCTGGATGATTTTGAAAGGTATAGCTTAGTTCTTCATTCAATGGGGTTTCGAAATACTGATGTTAAAAACTGTTTTTGTATAGAAAAGAAAGCAATTGTTATGAATATGGTAACCTTAGAATTCTGTGTGTGCGAAAATAGCAATTAGATTATTATACATCTGTGTGTATATATGTACTTAATATAGGATTCATTTTATCAGCTATACAGAATAATACTACATAATCTGTAAACTTAAACTAGTCTATCAAACTCCTTCACACTCAGTTTTTCTCCTCAAATAAATGATCGAATACTATGAGTGGTATTATTGTTAACTTGGTCTAGATTGCAATTTGGTAGATTGTAGTTTTATAACCGTAAATTTAATAAATGTATGCCATAAAATTTAAAAAAAAAAACCTGGATGACTCTCCATGTTCTCTGATGCAGCTACTGTGGATACCTGCTGAGTCACAGAACAGAGATTTGGGAGTTTTAGAAAGCTGCACGCCAATTTGTGCAATAGCTGTATTTTCAGTCTCTCAGCATTTGGTGTCTGTCCATGTTGATTCACATAAACCAAGATCTTTCCCTTGTTACCTTCCATAATGTGCTATCACATGAATGGATATGCCCCAGATGCATTAGGGTAGTCCCCTCAGCACAGGGAAGAAGGGACACAATCACAGAGGTTAAGGGAAGGAACAGAGAATGTCATGTTCATCTATATAATACTTTATTTCTTAAAAATAAACAAGAAAACCCAAGCAAAGAGAATACGATGTTTTAACTTCCTCATTTTGTGGTGGTGAGCATACAGATATTATATTATCCTCTGTGATTCTCTCGATTTTTTAAATTTAAATTTTAGGTAAGTTAAAATTAATTGTTAAAATGAAAACATTGAAAATGTCATATTTTTAGAAAATGGAGGAGCCAAAATTTCTAACAATAGGTACCCTCTCATCTACTCCCAGACAGGATCTGGGTCCTGAAACTAGAAGCCTCCCAGGAGGCAGGGTGTAGCAACTTCCTGAACATGCAGACCCCTCGGGACTGATCAAGGTTTACTGTGGCCACACTGTGTGGCCTCATGGGTTTGCACACAACTGTCTCTTCTGGGGACTACCTCATCTGAGAATAGAAGGCACATACAAGCTGAACTGGCATGTCAGAAGCCCAGAGCCGAGCTGCCTTAGTCTGCTTGAGAAATGCTGCAGCCCTTGGCGCTCTGTGGGGCCACAGAATCACAGTCACAGTCATGATAGTGCCTGCTGAGTACAAACCAGGACATTCAACAACTTCTGTACAACTTCTCTAATTCAGTACTTCATGACAAAATAATAACAGCCACAGAATTAGCTCAAAATTAACAAGTCCAGGCCATGGAAGAATAATAGCTAGGTAACTTGAGTGTCAACCTGCAGACACTGTGATCTCAGCAATGAGTGAGTGACATTGAGTGTCAGGTCAGCCTAACGTCCTGTGAGAGAGAGCACTGCCCTACTCCTCACTGCCAGGAGTCTCCTTGCACAGGCTGTTGAGCAGGGGTATGGTTGGGCCATCAAGGTCACAAGAACAGAGAAAATTCCCCTGTCCAGAGTCCAGTCATGAGGAATGTTCACTCATGCTTAGCATACCTGGGACCTCAGGTGTTCATGACAGGACTCCCAGTTCCTGTATGCAAGTCCCCATTCCTGCCTTTACATTGCCACACCAGAGATTCACAATTCTGCCAAACACCTATCAGTGATGGCAGAAGACACAGCAGAAACAGGGCTTTGCCAGCCTTTTATAAGGCCTTCAATGTGTATCCCAATCTCAGCTGCAGTCAGGACCACACAAAGAACTCAAAATCCTGCCCAAGCCAAGTGCAAGAAGCCACACATGGGTGGCTTCTGTATTCATGGGGAATAATTCATGTTTGCCTTCAACCAGCCTGTCTTTGGTGTCTTACAATTTTCTTTAAAAAATTAAAAAAAAAAAAAAAACAATAGACTGTCTTTTCCATGTGGTATGGTAGCTTTCAGTTGACTAACCCTGAAACAACTAGTTACTGATACACTGCCCACTGCAAGCCCATGGATTCCAGCCTGCAGTACGGACTAAGCACCCCTGGCCCAGCTGGACCCAAGCTTTGCCACCTTTCTGACACCTTTCTATGAGTGCAGCAAGGGGACAAGGTTCATTCTCTGCTTCCTCTGGAAGGAAGAGTGAGCCCAGGTCATGTCCAGGCTGAAAGTCAGGTCCTCATAACATGGAGGAAGAGTGCAACTCACCATGGTGGCAGTGAATGGGATGTTGTCAATCAAGGACGATGCAATGGCTGACACCCAGACCACCAGGATGATGGCAGTTGCGAGGCGCCGATCCTCTGGGACCGTCTGGAAGGGAGCAGATAATAGCATTGCTATGTATCACAGTGGCATTGATAAATCACACATACTGCAGATGTGATGGTAGGACATGTGAGGCTCACAGAGCTGTCAGTCCTTCCTTTCACAAAGGAGAAGACCAAGGCAGTCCCAGGTGTCCAAACAGGACCAGCCTGGGCTTTCCTGGCTAATACTAGGAGCCTCAGCTGGGTCTCCAGGAAACTGGGAAGAGTGATTCCCAGCCATACCCAAGCCAATTAGCTCCTGGGGAGGGGAGCCAGATGGTCCCATTCTTGGTGGCAGCACATTCTGGTTACATGGACCTGATCTCCCAGCAGAGCCCTCTGGGGCTGTGCATTCATTTACTAACACTGGTGTCTACCACTCTCCTTCTTAGATGGTTTTAACTAAAGGTTAATAGCAAAACTGTAGGCATCTACAATTGTATATTCTTTGGAAAAAGTCTCACTTCATCTCTAGGCTACACAGGATAAAAAAAGTTTCCATGCTGTAATTTTTAAATAATTTGTGACCTATTCTTACCAGATTTTTTTTTAAATCAAAGTAACAGTGGCTTAAGCACATTCTGTTGCAGTATTTAATGTACCTTTATCAGCAAAGCAGTCTGTTCTCCGACATATTCTATTAAGTGGAGATGTGCCAGTGCCTAGAAGAAATGGATATATGATGAGAATCAGTTTAAAACTGAGAATATATGCATTTTTTTTCCAAAAAACAGGTCTGTAAAATAAAAATAAGTGAACATAAAGCAGGTCCAGGCTCTCATGTCTTATAAAGGATCAGACTCAAATATACAGTCTATAAATAATTTACTATCAGATAGGTACAATGAAGATTCACTGAGAAGCACAATACCACAGGCAGGAATTTCTCATTGATTTGTGTTACTGTCCACATTAAATTTAAATTTGAATGGAATGCCATCTCTTTAGGGTCAGTGTATAGGAGCACTGTTCAACTGCATACAGTGAAATGTCACTCCATATAGAAGATCTTTCAAATAACTTGCATTTCAAATTTCTTTTTTGAAGTTCAACATCACAGAGTTTTAGAAAAATCAAAGAAAATGTATGGTTTTTATGACTGTCAAAGAAAAAAAGAAAAGGTCTATTTAACTGAAGCATGTGACTCTTTTCTCAGTACTAGAAAAAAATTACTTTTCTCAGTAATTGAAAAAAATTACGTCTATAAAAAGGTAGGAAAGAAGACTGGATGGAGGAGATGTAAATGCAAGAGCTGTTATGCTCAGGCTGCCACCCTGGCACAGCGAGGGAAGGCATCAATTGTTGCCCACTGCATCCTGGACAGTAAGTACCAATAGGGAATCAGACATGCATGTGACTCACATGCATGTGACTCAGGTGTCTTGCACCTCTCAAATATGGCCTTTTCACTGTGATGTCACCATGCTGACTGACTATAAATATCGAAAACATCAGCTTTACCATGTTTAAATACAAGTTTACAACTTCTCCATCCACATGTACAGCTGTTTGTTAGTCTTTGTTTAAAGGCTGTGGAATGCAAATTTTTTTAATCACAATTTGCAACCAGGTTTACTATTATATCAACAAAATCATAAGGACAAATCTATTTAGATACATCTGTTCACAAATCTAGTCAGCATTGTTGACATTAGGAACTGAATCATTCTTCATTGTGGGGGCTGTCCTATACATTGTGGGAAGTTTACCATCCCTGGCTTCTACTCCCCAGTGTGACAACCGAAAATGTCTCCAGGCAGTGCCAATGATGCCACAAAATCAGCCTCGACCTCCTGATAAGAATCACTTTTTGGATTTACAATATTCCATGAATAAATAAAATTTTTCATTTGCAAAACATAAATGTAGTCACTATTTTATTTCATTTTATAATGAAATATTGATTCATATATTGATTCAAAGAAAAGCCAGGTCTAAACCAGATTAAAACTTCCTGCTGGATATCAAATAAAGATGATTATATATGTGTGTATACATACACATACATATACAGACATACACATACACAGTACCATGTCCACACCTTGATATGTCCTTATAAACTATCTATTTATATAGTGTCATATAATTATCCCAAATATCAAGGCCTATGGTATGCAGTGTAAGACAACAGGAAGGAAAATATTGAAAATACTTGAACACTCTATCTAATAACTGAGTTTGAAGCATCTGATCTCTTCGTTGAAAAATGAAAGTTAAAATAGAAGTATATAATAAGAACTCCTTTATAATATGGAAATGAAATAAATATGTAACACTTAACTCTACCAAACCTTTCATACTGGATGATATATATTGTTCTATTTTCAATTCACTGACCTTTTCCTTTGTCATATTCATTCTGCTATTCAACCCATAAAGTTTTTTTAATGAAAGTGTTATGTTTTTAAGTTCTGACCTTTGCACTTGCTTCTGTTTTATAATTTGTTTCTCTCCTAAAGATTCCTATGTTCACTCATTTCAAATTTATTTTTCTTTACTTCATTTAAATGTTATAATAGTTACTTTAGATTCTTTGGTCATTTCAATATCTGGATCATGTTGGGATTAAGATCTATTTATTGTTTTTTTTCCCCCCTTGAGAATTGCTTACATTCTCCTCTTTCTTGTATGTTGAGTTCTTTGATATCATCTCCTGGATACTGTCAATGTTAAGATATGGAGACTGTGGGTCCTGTTATAATCTTCTGGAGATAATCTTTTCTTCTCCTTTTCAGTTAGAAGTTAAGTTCAGATCACAATTTCTGTCTTCCCATCCATGGGTAGTGTTTCAAATTCATATTTCCAATGGTAGTTTCGGTCTGTCTCACATATGCTGATTTCACAGCACTTGGAAACTTGTGCAGATGGTTCAAGTTTCTGTTGAATTCTTTAAACTTGCTATGTTGGTTTGTGCCTGTCCAGCATACAGGAATTTGAGACTTCTATGAATGGTTCTAATCTCAGATAGTTCTCTAGGCCTTCACTAGGCTGGTCTGGGACTGTACCACACATGCATCGTTCATAATTGTACATGCTCATGCATGCAATTAGGGTGTGGGATTCCCTGGCTCTTTCTTTTGAAATTCCCTCATTCTCCAGCCCACAGGTGCTACTTTCCCTGCTCCTCTGGGTGCAAGGTGAGGATACTATGTGAATGCTAGGCATTTATGCCACCATGCCATGCCATGATGAGGCCTACCTGTCCTGGAGGTTTTTTCAGACAGAAAAAAAACAAAAACAAAACAAAACCCAAGAGGGTCACTTCTCCAAGAGTATTAACTCCTTTCCACAATCTACTTGGTTTTGTTTATTTTTCAGAGTCCATGTATACTTGGTTTTTGTATTTTGTCCTGAATTTCAGTTGTAATCAGAGAGAGGAATAAATATTAATAGGTTTATACCCCCAAGAAAGAACTAGAATTCAATATTCTTTCATATTATGTAACTCAGTTAAAATACTCTTCCTTCAGCTAACTTCTAGATTTAAAAATAGATTAAATATGCTATTTCTCCTCTGCCAAATTCTCTGCAATTGATCTGTGCACCCATAATCACCATCCAGGGACATGGGCAGGGGCATAGCTAGAGCCCTCTGCAGGGTAACAGAGGTCAACGTGAGTCACACAGCAACTCTGGATAAAGAGAGAAGGATGCAAGTCAAACTGAATCCTATAAGATTTGAGGGAAATGCTTAAAAGTCCCATGGCCATCAGTTTTACCAAGGTGGAAGTACAAATACATCAGTATTTAAGAGGTCACATAGAAAGTCATGTGCTTTGAGAAAATGCTCCGCATCACTTGCCATCAGGAAAATACAAATCAAAACCACAATGAGATACCACCTCACACTAGTGAGAACAGTGAAAATTAACAAGACAGGAAATAACAAATGTTGGAGAGGATGTGGAGACAGGGGAATCCTCTTGCACTGTTGGTGGGAACGTGAACTGGTACAGCCACTCTGGAAAACTGTGTGGAGGTTCCTCAAAGAGTTAAAAAAAAACAGCAGCAATTGCACTGATGGGGATTTACCCCAAAGATACAGATGCAGTGAAAGATCAAGACACCTGCACCCCAATGTTTATAGCAGCAATGTTCACAATAGCCAAACTGTGGAAGGAGCCTCAATGTCGTTCGATGAATGGATAAAGATGTGGTCTCTATATACAATGGAATATTACTCAGCCATTAGAAACGACGAATACCCACCATTTGCTTCGATGTGGATGGGACTGTAGGGTATTATGCTGAGTGAAGTAAATCAATCAGAGAAGGACAAACATTATATGGTTTCACTCATACAAGGAATATAAAAAATAGTGAAAGGGATTTAGGAGAAAGGAGGGGAACTGAGTGGGAAAAATCAGAAAGTGTGACAACCCATGGAAGACTACTAACTCTGGGAAACAAAGTGAAGCATTGCAGAAGGGGAGGTGGGCAGGGGGAGGGGTGACTGGGTGCCGGGCACTGAGGGGAGCACTTGACAGGATGAGCACTGGGTGTTATACTATATGTTGGCAAATCGAACTTCAATTAAAAAAAGAAAAAAAAGTCATGTGCTTTTTGGTGTTTATGAAATACCCACTTATCTACCTTTCCCTGCGGGATTTTCCTTTTTCATGATACCTCATCTTATTTTAAAATAATCTCCATCAAAATCTGACCTGATCAAACACACACACACACACACATCCTGATTTTAAAATCTCTAAAATATACTGAAAGTTTTGACACTGTAACAGCTGATAGATAGCTATGTTCATAAACATTTGGAATACATTATAATTGGTGTTATTTTAACTGAACTTAAATTACAGCACTATGTTTTAGAGAATGTCACAATTAGGTTAGAAACAGATTACTGAAATTGATAAAGAGCTCATTGTAAATCTTTTTTGCTGCAAACATCCAAAAATTAAAATTTTTGTGTGTGTCCATTTTTCCACAGAATTATGCATGTATCTTCCCAGTGAACTCACTAACAATCTTGTTTGTAAATGACCCTCATGTTCAGTGCCTGGCAGAAAAGTTAGACAACCACTCATTCTCTAAAAATAAACTTCTTATGTTGTTCTCTCACACTGGAATCAGAGGTCTATTGAAGGTATTTATAATTTAAAAACAACTTCAACCATACACAAAGATAAACTCAAAATGGATGAAAGATTTAAATGTGAGACAAGACTCCATCAAAATCCTAGAGGAGAACACAGGCAACACCCTTTTTGAACTTGGCCACAGTAACTTCTTGCAAGATACATCCACGAAAACAAAAGAAACAAAAGCAAAAATGAACTATTGGGACTTCATCAAGATAAGAAGCTTTTGCACAGCAAAGGATAGAGTCAACAAAACTCAAAGACAACCTACAGAATGGGAGAAGATATTTGCAAATAACATATCAGATAAAGGGCTAGTTTCCAAAATCTATAAAGAACTTCTTAAACTCAACACCAAAGAAACAAACAATCCAATCATGAAATGGGCAAAAGACATGAAGAGAAATCTCACAGAGGAAGACATAGACATGGCCAACATGCACATGAGAAAATGCTCCGCATCACTTGCCATCAGGGAAATACAGATCAAAACCACAATGAGATACCACCTCACACCATTGAGGATGGGGAAAATCAACAAGGCAGGAAACAACAAATGT